AGGTTCAACCATCATCAACCAGAGCACAGTGGTCTCTGATCATCTTTCTGATTGGCTGCTGTACCAGTCAACAGTTTAAACTTTGACCTTTAACCTCTCTGCGTTGTTTCCTCTTTCAGACCAGAAAACGATCACAGCTGAGTCTCGACAAAACGTCACTCTGACATGTCGAGCTCCAAACAACAACATCATTGTTGTTGTAGAGTGGAGCAGAGCTGACCTGAAGGAAGAATATGTCCTCTTGTACCGAGATGAACAGTTTGATCCTGAGGACCAGCATCCATCTTTTAAGAACCGGGTGGATCTGCAGGACAGACAGATGAAGGATGGAGACGTGTCTCTGATTCTGAAGAATGTGACGACTGCTGATAGTGGAACATATGAGTGTCGTGTCTTCATGAGAGGAGCAAACCGCAGGAAGAGAGCTCATCTGAAGACTGAGCCCATCACCACCATCAGCTTAAATGTTTCTCCAGGTGAGTGGTGAAAAGAGGTGAAGCTGCTTCCTGGTTGTTGATGTTTGTTTCTAAAGATGTTGTTGATGAGACTTTGTAGAAAGCAGCTGGTCTGAGTGATGTGATCAGAGTGCAGTAGATAATGTCTGACAGCAGTTTGAAGAGGAAATGGATTCTGTTCTGTTCTTCACTCATCACCTACCTGACAGCTGACACCTCACACCTGTTTCTCACCTGCAGGTCAGCCAGGAGGACTCACAGAGGGTGGAGGGAAGGAGGATGGAGTTGGTAGGAATCATCATGGTGGACCGGTAGTTTTTGGTTTGCTACTTGCTGTGATCATTGTTGTGGTTGCTGTTGTGATCTTTAAACAGTAGAAGAAGGCTCTTCCTCTTCATGATGAAGAAGCAAAGCAAAGAAGGAGATGATCTGAAAGCACCATGAGAGGAGAGAGAGCGAGCACATTAAAAACAATATAAAAAAGATAGATAGATAGATGAGGTTTCCTTCATGAGGAGAACAAACAGAATATAAACCAGTGTGTTTACAGTGAATGTGTCAGGTCTGAGCTGCTGTGTGGACCAGTTAGAGAGCAGCAGCTGGATTCCAGTGGTTGGACTGGTGGACGACTTCAGTGAGGAGTAGATGACATTTGGCTCTGGTAGAAACTCTGCACACACAAACACAGCAGCTGTCCTTCCCATTTCTTTCACTTTTTTTTCTTATTTTCACTCTGAAAGATGAAAAATAGGAAAGTTAAACAACAAATGGACAGACTTTAGTTTGTATTTTGATTCAGGGACTGGAAGCGGGGCTGAGGAAGAGCAGCAAGCAGGACTCTGACTGACTTGTTTGACTGAAAGTGAATTCATTTGTTTAATTTAATATCAGAACATGTTTGAGTTACATTTCATTATATCAGCATGGTAACAGCTCCACACCGTCTGATAAGTTTAGGTTACTCGTACTAGAGACCATATCATCCCAATTCTTCAACAGCTGGTTGACCATAGAAGCCAGGATAAACTTTAAAATGTTAGAATGTTAAAAAATCTTTTACGTTTCTTTTTCCATTTTATGGTTTTGTGTCTCTTTATTGTAATTTACTATTCATTTATTTCCTTTTTTGCACCACTTGTTTTTTCACTTTTTATTATATTTAATCTGTCCTTAGTAGCATTGTTATGTTATTTATCATTTCTTTTTCATCTCCTGTGTTTCTGTATGCTAAGTGAGTGTCTGATGTCTGGGTGTGGGAGTGGGGATGGAGGGGTGATGAGAGGGCGTAGTGAAGGTGATGTATGTGTATTGTTTTCTGCTTTTAATGTGTACATCATTTTGAGTGTCTTCTTTACTGTATGAGAAGTGCTATGTAAATAAAGTTTTAAGTGATATACTAAGACTTGAGGCATTTATACACCAAGCACATTGCAAAAAAGTCACAAAACACAATTTTTAAACTTGCCCTGTAACGAATATACATGACAAACATGTTGTTTTGTGTAAAAATTTATGGTGAATTCAAACCCAAGACCTTGTTGCTGTGAGGCACCAGTGCCACCAACCAGTGGTGATAACAAAACCTGGAAACCAGTACGTGTTCCCTCAGTCATGCAGAGCAAATGTTTTACATTCAGCCTGATTTGTTTTTCTTCTCCTCCATCATCAGTGATCAGAGGTCTGCACTGTGGAGCAGGATTTAGTCTCATCCAGGTAACTACAGGATTAACCCTGGTTTTACTGCAATATTAAGATGGTTCACTTCTCATTCCCAGTTTATGCTTCAATGGGAAATCTACGCTGTGACCTTACATGTAACCTGATGTAACAACACATCAAGTTGACAGTAGATTGACAGATTGGTCTGATCAGCACTGTTGACTCCTCCTACACATTTCTTGCTGTTTTTTCACCCGTTTTTGAATTTATCAGTGAGAGAATAACGATCATCTCCTCAGTGTAAAGAATATATATTATTAATGATTATAATACTAATCATAACCATTGCGAGGAAGTGTTCTGATAGCACAGAGTCACTGCTGTGAGGTAAAATGTGTTGGTTATGTACAGCCGGTAAAATGACATGACATTGACCAATCAGATGAAAGGAAGAAAAATAAGGTCAACATTCGTACTTGTACACTACCTGAAATTTGAGTGCAGAGTTTCACACAAATTCTTTTTACACATACAAAACTGATTTACAAGTACAAATTATTTATGACCACAATTTGAGCCCATAATTACTGTCAGATTTTGATGTTTTCATAGATTTTTAGTCACTGTCTGATTACATCTCTGAGGTTGGTGGCACTCATAGCATCATGTTCTGTGGGAGAAGAGTCACATGACCCATGAACTTCATACAAACTAACCTGTGTAGTGTCTTCAGATGTCCACTAGATGGAATCAGTCCTCAGAATACAGAAACAAAACCACTGCACTGCAGCTGCACAAGGACAATAAAATCTGATCCTGAGATCCAGGATGGAAAACAGAAGCTGCTCTCTCGCGCCACCGTTCCTCCACTCGCCCCAGCCAGTCTAGACACTAAACCTCTTCATCTTGGACAACATCCTCCTCTCTGACACCACCTTAAGAGAGTCCATCTCCATCCCCACAACATTACTGTCCTTGCGGATCAGTTTATTGAGTCTGTTGGCATCAGCAACCCTCAATCTGCTCCCCCAGGATGCAACAGCGTAGAGGATCGCACCGGCCACAACAGACTCGTAGAAAATCCTGAGCATTGTCCGACAGATGTTTAAGGACCTCAGTCGCCTCAAAAGATAGAGGCGACTCTGGCCCTTCCTGTAAAGTGCTGTGGTGTTTTTAGCCCAGTCCAGTTTATTGTCAATGTGTACTCCGAGGTATTTATAGTCCTCCACAATGTCAACATTGAGCGCCTGGATTGAAACAGGGGTCAAGTGTTTCTGAATTATATTCAAAGATCAGTAAATCTGCTGTAGACATAAAACCAGTTAAACTGTTATTTTAGTTTAATATTTTTGAATTATTTTGTTTAGATTTGACCTTTTACTGTATTTTTCATCACTTTCCAGACTGGATTTTCTTGTTTCAGTTTAGTTTTAATGGTGTCAGTGTTTTACTCTTTTTAATAGTTAGGATATTAGGATGTTGAAAATCTGTACGTATATTCCAATGAAAAGGGAACTTTTTGTAAGCACTGACTTACAGTGTAGTGGACAGAAAACACGTCCATCTAAAAGCCTGATGGTGTATTGTCACTACCCTCCTGGGCGGTCAGGGCACACGAACACCTAATGTTGTGAATGTGGAGTCACGGAAAGACCCCACCCAGCCTCCGTCAGCGTCTAGCTGGACAGTTAGACCTGCACTGATGCTGTGTTACTCCGCCTCCATTGTTAAAATGAGTTGGCTGCAACTTTGCTCACAAAGCACCGCGTCAACAGAAGGTTGGTGTTTTTGAAGTGTTTTAAGCTGTAACCTACAGCTGAATTAGGTGAACTGAACTTTTAAGGGTCACTTCACTCAAAATAAAAATCTGGATTTCCTTAGAAATTTCCACTCCCCCAGTCAGGAGGGACTACATTAAAAGTGTGCATTAGAATGAGTGATACGACACACTGACAGGATATAAGGTGAGTATTCAAATCACAGACACAAGTATGACAGTGAAACAGAAGCTTTATTCAGGGCAGACACATTTCATTGGTTCTCAGATTGCTGTATGACGTCTTTCAGTTTGACAGATGAACACAAACTTTATCTTAATTTCATTCATGTGAGTTTAACACACAGATTTGGACTCTGAGAAATGCTTCACTGTTGTTCAGAGGTTCACACATCATCAGCTGCTGCTCAAAGAAACATGAACAGCAGAAAATCTCATGAAGTGAACGTGAGCTCGGACACTGACTTTGGTTGTTTGAAGGGAACAATGTTCAGAGGAGGTTCAAACCAATCAGAGCCCACTCTGGTGTTTTTCTAACTGCCTGTGTTTACATGAAATCAGCTTTAGTCTTAGTGAGCACATCAGCCACAAACATGTGATCCGAACAGATTGAGGCACTGAGAATGGAGCAGTGGATTAAAGAGTTAGTTGCATTCAGAAATGTGGTTTTGGTTTCTTAGATACTTTGAGTCTGAGGAAAAAGATGATTTACCGAATGTTTCAGTGTCATTTTAGAGAAGAAGCTCATGTCACTTCATGAAGTCTGTCCTGCTGTTTCAGTTCTTGTTTCGCCTCCTCTTGCCTGTCACTGTTGGTTTATTTTTCTGTGTCCCTGCTTCTTTCTCTAATTCTATGGCATAATCATTTATGTCATTCTCACAGTGAAGCCCATAGTATGGATAATTACACCGGCAAATTCCAAGGAACATGTCTTTCATTTTCACACATTTTCCTCTGCCTTTTCTTTCCCCACAGTCCTGCTTGGCACACGGATCTTTTTCCATCATTTCTTCGTCACTTTTGATCAGAACAACAAACTTTCCATGCTTCACACCTGGAGATTTCTCACACTCCCCTGTGTAAATGTAAGGAGTCTGATCTGAAGGGTTTTCAGGAGCAGCATTGACTTCATCTTCATCATCAGCTTGGTCTTTAACGTTAGCTTTAGGGTTAGCTTCCTTTGCCTTGATGCTTTGGTGAGCTTTTTTAGTATAGGCGTGGACTGCTGTGTAAGTCTGAGACATTGGAATTCCTGCCACCTTTTCCCCACATGTGCTGAGTGTCTCTGCCACCTTGTAACACAAAACTTTCTTTTTAATACACTTCTCAATGGCTGTGCTGACCTCCTGTACTTTGCTTTGAGTCCCTTTCACCTGTCTGGATACGGCCACAGTAATGCGCTCTGTTGACACATCCTGGAATCCTGTCAGCACGTGTTTGTTCAGGGTTTTAATTGCTTTATGGCTGGATTTTTTGGTTATAAATCCAACAACCATCCAGTCATACCTGTCATATGTCTTCTGCAGAAAATCCCAGACTTCCTGTGCCAAATCATCACGCTTTTTAGATTTATCAATAAGTGGTTTCACGTCCTGTTTAACATAAGTCATACTGCTATCAATGCATTGTTTTTGGATTTCAAACATTGCTGCCATTGCTTCATATACATTCTTCTTCATCTCATCATTTCTCGCTTCAGACTGTATGTTCTTCAGTCTGTAGTAGAATTGATTCATCATGTTGCCCTTGAAGATAAGTGTAAGAATGAGATAAGTATATTCTATGATTTCCTTCTCGTGACATTTAACATGTTCAGCCAGTTCATCCCCGAGGTTATTAACGAAGCTCTTTCCTGTTTTTTTCAGCAACTCTCCCATTTCCCGAGGAGCTTTCTCATATTTTGAGTAGGCTTCTATAAAGCTTTTTTCATGTCTTTTCCTTTCATCCTGATCTTTAGCCCCAGCGAGACTGCCCAGCAGTGTTTTGTATTCAGTCCAGGCAGTCCTAATTTTCATCTCTGGCTTAGAATAAGTTGCAGCTGCCCAGATGTTCCACTTTAGTTCCCGATGATGCTTCTCAAGCTTAAGATCGATTTTTTCAAATTCTTCCTTGATATCTTTCAGTAATGATTTATCATTAACATGTTCATCTATCAGTATCGCTATTGTCATTAGTAAGGAAAATACAGCACCTACCACTGGCACAACATTAACCACAGACGCAGCAGATTTAAGAATATCATGATCAGTGTCTTTTACCGCATTCCCAATGCCTGTGATTAAAGTTAGAAAATGTTCACCAATATTTTTGAGGTTCTCCTTATTTTTTAGTGCACTTTTAAGTTTTTCTTTGCCTTGTTTTAGTTTCTCCAGAAGGGCTTTCTCATGTTTGCTTTGGTCAGCAGACGGAGACGTGGTCACACTGGAGATGATGAAAAAGGCTGATATCATCAGCAGGAGCAGCGGACCAACAGATGCCATGTCTGAAAATACACAAGACCAAAACACAAAGAGTTACATCATACTTTTTAAATGTAGTCCTTTATTAGAGCTTTTATTATCTTAACATAAAACAGTCAGGCTCTTAATTGAAATGACCCTCCA